CATTCGAAGCAACTTCTTCCTTTACAAGAATGTTCTCCGAGGCACCGTTAACGAGTTATCAACGAAAAAACAGCGACCAATAAGAATCGAGTACGGCTGACGCGAGGCGGCCCAGCCAACCGGCGCGCGAAGCCCGGTTCCGCTCATTGGCTCGGTCGCCGCGCGCCAGCCGAGCTCGCCTCTCATTGGTCACTGTTTTTCGTTAATAACTCGTTAACGGTGCCTCGGAGAACATTTTTGTAAAGGAAAAAGTTGCTTCGAATGGCTCGAGGAACCCGCCACTTTCGGATTGCGAGACATTTTTCAGACACCCTACGTATATTACGGTGTATATATTCACAATGCATATTCGCTTAAAAAAATCCGACATTTCACACGTCGCTAATACCTAATACCAAACTCGAGCACGCTGCAACGAAAGTCGGAGGGGGGGTGGGGCAACTGCGAAGTCCCGTTCGCCGACTGAGATGTTCCTCGTGGGCGATATTATGCGCTCTCGTCCCACACGCCGCGACGTCGGAGGTCGCGGCGCGCGACGAGGAAGTGCCGCCCGGTGCAACGAGCGCTGCACCGACGATCACGACCTAAATCGTCGAGGCGAGCGCATCATCTCGCGCGCTCGAATCCCTCCCCCCACCCTCCTCCGCGTTTGATCGCGGGGCCGAACTCACCGCGGCGAAAACTCCGCTAGCGATTACGCGCCGAGGGCACCGCTTAACTCGTTAGCGGCCGCTTAATTCCTCGCGCGCGAGGACGGTGTACGCTATATGTCTCTCTAATTGACGCTTAGATTGTCCTCAGAAATGGACGAATTGGGAAGAGCAGATACGATTGTTCGAACTAATATTTATATTTTATTATATACATATATATATATTATATTATATTTATATTTTATATATATTTATTAGATATGTATTTTATATATATTTATTATATATATTATTGTAAACATATTATATTATATATATTTATTATATATTATATTATATATATTTTATTATATTTATAATTATTAGCGGCTCGTTTTCATAGTTATTGACAATTCGTAACTATAAAAACAAACCACAAGGTTCGAATAATAAATTTTATCAACTGTTCATAATCAACTTATAATAACTTTACATAAAATTATATAAAAATGTTAAAAATATAATATATATATATATAATATAAGAATAATGTCGTCAATAGTCGCATTTCTATTGAATGGGAAGGGGGTGGGGGGAAGGGAGGGTGCTAATTCATTGAACAGAGCACCCCGCCTAATTCTTCTCAAATTCTCTCCTCAAAGAGTTATGAATGCGCCAAAGCCTCGTCTGTCCAGAGAAAGTTGTAAACCCAGCACATTGGTCACTATTATCATCGTCCCCAGTTCCCCACCCGCGGTATGGTCCGCGAATCATTAGGCTGCATTCTCTCGTCGAAAACCAATTACAGTCCCCGATCGGATTTAGTTGAATATTCTCGAATAAAGGGGTGGTCGCGAAGCGGCGGCGCCGGTTTGGATATTCTCGATATTGCCCCGCGGCGGGCTAACCGATACTTCCAGAGAGTTTCGATGCTAATTGCACGTAACAATGGCGTAACGGCGACGCGGTTACCACGGGCTGACCAATTACTGTGCAATTTCGTTCGGTTGGCAGGCGTAATTGACTTTACGTTTACTTCGAACAAAAAAGAAAATATTACATTTCTTTTATTGAATAATAATAATTTAATAATGATAATTTAATTGAATAATAATTTTTCGTATGTCTTATTCGATTATAACTGAGCCGTTTATTTTGAAAGTGGCATAAGTCACTTTGTTTTTAAGTCGATATATTTAAGGGTTTGCGTTTTAACACGTTTAAAAATATGGATACTAACTTTCGAGAAGATTTACTTGTATTTGTTATCTCAGGATACTGATATTTATATTATATATAATAATATATAATAAAAAGTAAAATTTATTTCAATAATAACTTATACAATGCAATAGTATAAGTTATTATTATATAACCTTGCAACCCCTACGAAACGTTTCATAATAGTAACTTTTATAAGTTGCTATAATTTTACAAGTTACTATAATAATCAAATATCATTAATTTATAACAATTAACTTATTTCTATAACAACTTATACAATGCAATAGTATAAGTTATTATTATATAACCTTGTAAACCCTACGAAACGTTCCATAATAGTTACTTTGATATAAGTTACTATAATAATCCAATATTATTAATTCACAACAATTAATTTATTTCAACAATAACTTATACAATGCAACAGTTACTTTCACCATATCCCACCCCCAATAAAAACAACCCCCCGAAGACACGCACAGCAACTGCGGCAACGTCACAGCACAGTAACCGGCTCCACTACCCCAGAGAGCCCCTTCCCTCCTCCGATGATCATTCGGCCGTCTTGCCGCGGCAGTCCGCGTGTCGAAGAGACGCGCGCGCGCGGGGGTGGATTAAAGCTCGACAAGAAACGACAGTGGGTCGTCGGTGTCGGTCGTTGGGTCGGCAAACCCGTCCCGATGAATGGGTCTGGCCCTGGGGTGGTTCACCAGCTGACTGGGGTTGTCGTCATGGCAACGAACCAACCCGGGAGCAACGCCCCACCCCTACAAAATTCATACCTATATATAGCTCTCCTTTCCACCCTCCCCCCTCCCCGACGCAACCCTTTCTTCTTTCTCTCAGCCTAGCGAGCAGCCTGCCTCTCGTCGTCGTTTTCACCTTTCTGTTCCGCCGTTCTTGGATTCCCTACTTTTAATTCTCTTTCCGGCTGCCATTCTTGGTAACGTCGAACCGAGCCTCCTCCTCTTGGCACGGCACGGTCCAAATTCCGTGCCCATCCCCCACCCTCCCACCGCCCCCTCGCCGCGGTCCAGACACGGCGGACAGAATTTCTCTTCGTTGTGTTTCACTCGGTGAGAAATGTGATGGAACGAAGACGTTTTCTGGGTATTGTCGATTTGGAAGATTGTGACCAATGACACTGTGTGCGGTCGTAAGGAGCTTTTATCATGGCTTTGCGCGACGTTTTCCTCGTTTAGGAAGCGTCAGCATTGATTGTTGTTATTGTTATTATATTCATGCATATATAATGTAGTAGTTATAATTCTATTGATATAATTATATTCATCAATATGATGATATTGATATAATTGTATTTATCAATATGATAACATTGATATAATTATATTTATCAATATAATAATATTGATATAATGATATTTATCAATATAATAATATTGATATAATTATACTTATCAATTTAATAATATCGATATAATTATATTTATCAATATGATAATATTATCAATTATGTAATAATTAAATAAATATTATATATAATAAATAATTATATATTATATTATTATTGTATGTTATTATATATTATATTATAATATTATTGTATATTACTATATATTATTATATATTATATTATAATATTATTGTATATGACTATAAATTATTATATATTATATTATATTATTATTGTATATTATTATCGTATATTATTATTGTGTATTATTATATATTACGTTATATTATTATTATACATTATATAAAATTTTATAATAATAAATAAAGAACAAAAAGAAATAATAATAATAAAGAAGAAAATAGCAAAGAATAAGATTTTATTGGAGTAATAGGCAACTCTGGTTGCAACGCGACGCCCAACAGGTTTTTCATCGGTGGCTCGACGTTCGCGTTGAAAAACAAAAGGGCATATAAATCATAGCCTTGATTGCATCATCGCGAGGCAAAGACCAAACTCGTGCGAGCTGGACGTACGTACGTACGTTCGCGTACGAGAGGAATTCTAACTCTAGGACGTAATGACGGGAGGAATGATGAAATGGACGGACATCCGTTCCCCACTTTTTGCGAAACTCTTGCTAGCGCGGATTAAGGCGGTTTCACATGTGACCGTGTGTGCTTGTTAGTTTACACGGTACGCGTATGGAATTTTTGATATTCCGCTGTCTGAAACCAATGTTTCAGTCTAGAACAGCCGTTGGCAATGTTTTTCTTCTGCGTCAAAAACGAAGCAAAATATCACTATTAAAAGACTAAAACTATTAAAAATATAATAGTATTTTCATGTGCTAGCCCTTCGCTGCTAATTAATTATTTATTCGTCCGCGGTGATGAAATGCAATTCTAAGAAAAATTGTAAGATTTTATTAAAAAAGAAAAAGAAGAACGTTTTTTAATAAAATTGTTTTTACTCGATCGAACTTGGACCTTTTCATTATTTATATGGAAAATAAGAACAATCGATTTTGACTTATTTTATTTGATGCAATAAACATTAGCGTGCAACGTTTAAATAATTAAGCAACTAAATAAATAATAATTGAATAACTATTAAATAGCAAATAATAATTGAATAGCTATTGAATAGCAAATAATAATTGAATAGCTATTGAATAGTAAATAATAATTGAATAACTATTAAATAGCAAATAATAATTGAATAGCTATTGAATAGCAAATAATAATTGAATAGCTATTGAATAGCAAATAATAATTGAATAACTATTAAATAGCAAATAATAATTATAATATCTATTAAATAGCAATAATTCAAGATTCGAGTTCCAATTGTTACAAAAACAATTATAACATTGTCAAATTATATTGTCGACGCCTGGCATAAACTCCTCGTGGATAAAAAAATCAGCTATTTTGGTATCGACAGATTCGAATCATAATAATGATCATGCGTACATCGAAAAGCCATGAGATATTCCAAAAATAACAGTAATTCATCCGTTGGAAGATCTGGCGAATTTCTCGGTGACCGAATACGGGCTCTATTATTCTTTGCGACAAGGCAATCGACTCGGGCCCTTTCCCAGAGACTTTTCTTTTTACGACTTTTACCTGGTTCAATTCTGTCTTCTTCGTAGATTTAATCAAAGGATACATATATCTGGTCTCTCCCATATCGAACTTGGAGATTCCGATTGATTCCCGTCTCGTCGATGTCGCTGATCACCGTCATGTCCGGGACACCGAACTCAGGGCTCGAGCCTGGAACAAAGAACCGTGCAGATGGTTAATGAGACGTCGGCTAACCGATAAACACACATGCTTGCCAGAAATTTTATCGACACACGAAAGTTCCAAATCATCCTCGCGAATAAGCTTAAAACCGCTTCACAAGTATTTGTGAAATATGTACACATTTATATTTTATATTTATATTCATAATATTTATATTCATTATATTCATATTCAAAGTATACTTATTCATAGTATTCATATTCATAGTATACTTATTCATAGTATTCATATTCATAGTATTCATATTCATAATATTCATATTCATAATATATATAATAATCATATTATTCATATTCATAATATTTATAATATTCATATTATTCATATTCATAATATTTATAATATTCATATTATTCATATTATTCATATTCATAATATTCATACTATTCATATTCATAATATTTATAGTATTCATATTATTCATATTCATAATATTCATATTATTCATATCCATAATATTGATATTATTCATATTCATAATATTGATATTATTCATATTCATAATATTAATATTATTCATATATATTCATAATATTGATATTATTCATATTCATAATATTAATATTATTCATATATATTTATAATATTGATATTATTCATATTCATAATATTAATATTCAAAACATTCATATTTATATTTACAATATATTTATATATATTTATATTATATATTTACATATATCGATCGATTTATATACTTCGATCGATCGATCGATCGATCGCAATTTCGATCGAACCCGATTCGAACAGCGAAGCTAAAAGAAAAAGAAAAAAATACTCAACGACGTGACTCGTGGCGAAGCAAAAGGGAGCGCTGTGTTCTCGCTATGTGTTCTCCGCAATATTTTTAATTGGTTCAGGCTGCCCGGTTGTCCGGAGAGCTCAGATGTTCACATTCGGCATTGATCGGCGCTTGGTCGGGAAGCAACGCGATATGGAAACCTGGTAAAATCCTTCCGACCACCTGTTGTGTCGAGCAGACAATACCGTACGCGGCGATTCCTTGTCACCTCGAGTGGGGTCAATTTCCAATAGAATCGAAACCTTTAATAGGGAATCGGGAACGCGACGCGACGCGACAAAATATGGATTAGACGCGAGGACACCACCGCGCGTTCGTTCGTTCGAGCAACAGCAGCCGGCGATTTCAATGGAGAAAAAAAAAGAGGACTGTGAGAATTAATGGGATTTTTTTAAGAACGGCAACGATCGAGTTGCTTTTCGAAATGATAAATAACGTTGCAGAGTAAATTCTTCGTAATTTGTGCAAGAGATTTTGTGCAGAAAAATGGACAATTTGGGAAGAGGTGAGATTATTCGAGCCTTGTGACCTCGTTTTTATAGTTACCGATTAGTCAACAAATATAAAAATAATATATAATAATATGTATAATATATATAAATTATATATATTATTAATTATATTATATATAATATATTATATTATTATTATATCATATATTGTATAATTATAATATTATGTTATATTTATATAATGAATATATTAATATTATATTATAATATTATTATAATAATAATATGTATAATATATACATATCATACATATTATTATTTTTATTATATATTATATATTACAATTATATATAATATATAATAATCGTATCTCCTCATCCCGATCTGTCCACTTCCGTGTCACCTAACTAGCACACCTCAAACAACTATTAATTTACGCATCTAATTAAAACTTGTGCAATTAAAAATTCGTAGCTTTAAGACGGAGAGAAGCCTTGATATTATATTTACCAATTATCAACGAATTTACAGTAATTACACACATAAAAAGATATTATTTCAGATATTAAAATAACTGAAAATTATTATTATTATTATATTATTTTTCATTTCAGTTAAACGTACAAACATGGACAATAGCTATCGAGAATGTTCGAAATGCGACTTGGACATCGAGACGGTGAAGCATTTTCGTTAAATGGCTCTCTCGCGGAAGTAGCGCGGCAGCGCCCTTCGCTCGGCGTGCAGGGCGCCCTTCGCTCGGCGAGCTGCGAGATCGCCGTGAACCACACATGCATCCGAGAGCTGTACATCGTGTCTCGTACTACGGGGCCGGAGATATCAAATTTCGCGATAGCTCGCAAGGCGGGGCCCATAGGGCGGGCGTCACGTGACAAACACGACCTTGGCGAAATAGGACCACGGCAGCTGACATGCAGGTGCAACGAGCGCCTCTCGCAGGTGCTTGCACGGCGTTGCACCTGCGTGCCCCGAGCACGTGGATCACGGCGATGATTGGAGGAGATGCGGCCGGGACCGGACGAAATCGAAAAATCCTTTTCCTTTGTTTATTTTTTTTGGTATTTTTGCTGCGCCACGAGGACGGCGTGACGACAGTAATTTATAATAATATATATAGTATGTAATAATATAATATATTAATATAATATTATAATATAATATAATAATATAATATAGAATATAATATTATAATATTATATAATACTATAATATAGAATATAATATTATAATATTATATTATATAATACTATAATATAGAATATAATGTTATAATATTATATAATACTATAATATAGAATATAATATTATAATATTATATATAATACTACAATAGTATAATATTATAATATAATATAATGTAGAAAATATATAATATAATACTATAATATAGAAAATAATAATATAATAATATAGTATAGAATATAATATTGTAATATAATATAATATAATATAATACATATAATATAAAAACATTTAATATTTAAATTATACTATATAATATTTAAACATATGAATGTTTCTCAAACGGAATGCGAATAATTCGAAGAGAACACGAAATTCCAGTAATTTCTTCGGAAAATTGAAACAAGATCGGGACCCGTAATAAATAGGGAATACATAACGTACACATATATATGTACCGACGACACGAGGAATGCAATTTCGACGACGGGAATGCGAAAGTGGATGGTGGTTGACTTTAAATTCGTCGTTTGTTCCGCGTCGTTCCGTTTCCGATGTGCAGAGGAAGAAGCCGATGAAAAAGCTGCGTACGCACAGGTGATACAAAGGCCGGGAGGAGCTTAATGAACCGGTAGAAAAAAGGGCAAACGTGGGGTGGAAGTGTTAAATTAGTCTACCTCGGGTGCCGTTCAGGGTGGGGAGGAGGGGGGCGGCGGGTGCGAGTCGTGTGTGTACAGACCCACACCACGCGTCACCGGATCATGTGCGAGGGTCCTATAGCTGCTAATTAAAGTCGAGATTACGATGAAACAGTTGCAATCTGGGAGCGCCGGGGATTTTCTTCGAGCCTCGTAAACACCGTTTCCAATTAAATTAAAACGACGCCCGGTCCGTTACGCGCTACGATGATGTATATGTGGTACACGATTTTAGCTGACTTTTTACTGTTAAAACATTTTCTCTTAATTGCTGAAGCGTTTTTCTTTAATTGTTAAAACATTTTCCTTTAATTGTTTTTCAATTGTTTCTCAATTGTTAAAAAATTGACTTTTCATTGTTAAAGATTGTTTCTTTCGCCTTTCGATTGTTAAAATATTTTTTTCAATTGTTGAAACATTTTCTTTCAATTATTTAAAGAATTTTTGTTTCAATTGTTAGGAAATTGTCTTTTAATTGATGTATAATAATAAAATTGACTTTTAATTGTTAAGAAATTGTCTTCTAATCGTTGTAATATTTTTGTTTAATTGTTAAAACACTTTCTTTTAATTGTAAAAAAATTGTTTTCAATTATTAAAAAATTATCATTCAATTGTTAACAAAAAGAATGTTGCTATGAAACGATGAAAGATAATTTTTTCCCTTGAAAGCTTTTGTCTAAAAAATTATATCGCATCGTCAACATTTTCGAGGATATTCGAGTGAGTCGATTTTAATACGACACCCTGTATATTCTCCGTTTCCTTCGTTAGAAGATACCATTAATTTTATCTGTCCGATACTAGTTTACCGAACCCTTAATGTCAATGTTTTGCCGGACGAAAGTTATAATTATACACTTATAAAAGTTACAATATTAATTAATTAATTATTTATTACTTTATCAATTTATTTATTACACCGTTGCGATCGCGTCGAACCGTTCAAGTCACTTTGAACAGACAGAAAGAAATCGAATAGAATACGATGAAATTTAACTCGGCAATTAAATTTAACTTCGAGCGGGTTCATTTAAACGCAATATACCCAGCGCACCCCCCCCCCCCGTGAAATTACGTGAAACTATTAATTGTAGCTGCGCGATGCTAATTTATTGTACACCGTCGTATCGCGATCGCATCGAACCCGCGACATCGATTGCAAAGGTAACAGAACGACAATTCAATTCAAATTGAATTCGGTAAAAATTCAATTCGAAAAAATTCAATTCGATAAAATTGAATTGGGTAAAAATTGAATTCGATAAAAATTCAATTCAGTAAAAATTCAATTCGGTAAAAATTCAATTCGGTAAGAATTGAATTCGATGAAATTGAATTTGGTAAAAATTGAATTCGATAAAATTGAATTCGGTAAAAATTCAATTCGATAAAATTCAATTCGATAAAATTGAATTCGGTAAAAATTCAATTCGCTAAAATTCAATTCGGCAATTATATTTAGTCGCACGACAAGGAAAACGTGTGACGCGAGACTCCGGCGCCCGCGCGATTCCTTTCTGCTTTTCCAGTTCGGTGTGTCGCTCGGTTTCCGAGATTAAGCCGCGATTACAAGAAGCGACGCGTCGCGCCGCATCGCGTCGCGTCGCGGCACGAAAGCTTCGTGCGAACCCGGGGATCATTACGGACGACTTGTATTAAATTTCCATGAACAGAATTCCGACTAACGCGATGTTTGTCTCGCCGGTTCCGTGAAACCGGCCGAGCATCCTCCTCGGGCTTCCTATTTTCTCTGTCGTTCTATGGAAACCGCGTCCCCTTATCGTCAGCCACGGATCTACCCATCCGTTT